ATCACAATATTTTGATAAAATAGTATTTTACTTAACATCCGTTTTTGTATTTTTAAAACGGCTAATTTTGTGAATCAACATGTAGCTTCGCAATGTTGTGATGACCATTTGGAATTTTTTGGATGCCATGCTAAGCATAGGTAAATATTACCGTTCAGAATAACCCTTTTTTTGACTAAACTCTTTAGCAACAATTAGAAGCCTGTAATTATTTTTAAGGGATTTTTACATAAAATCCAAGTGCCTATATATAGCCTTTGTGAGTGAATTCGGCGTTGATAATCTAATCTCTATCAGATCTATAGTAGAACCACTGTATTACCTGAGACTCAACTTGATCTTAATAAAAATATGAATTAAGAATTTACATCTTCATAAGCTGCAGATTGATAAAAGATTGTTAAAAGATTTTATTCATCTAAAAATAAAAGTTGTTAAGTAAAATTAGTCAAATGCTTTGTATTAGATTAAAAATTAAAGTTTGTTTAAAAGAAGTCATGAAATTTCTGTTTTGTCACTCACTTTATACATCTGTAATTTTTTGGATGTCAGTTTCAACTGTCAATAATTTGATGCTCTGATTTTGTATTTGACGGAGTCCTCTGTCCAAAACGGCCAAAAAACCAAGACCAAAAAATAAAACAGAGACAAGACCAAAACAAACACCTCAAAACCAAGACCGAAAAAAACCAAGAAAAGTCTTGGTTCCTGTTACGACCCCGCTTACGTAGAGGACGATAACAAATACTTTATCACACGAACGAAATACAATGAAGTTGTGGTAGGAAGAATGGACAGGTGAAGAGACTCGGAATTAACTAATGGCTGGCTTTTATAGTAAACACTTTAAGGGCTGACGCCCATACACAACTGTTCCATGACTAAGACCAAGAGTCTCGGACATCTCTAGCATTGTATATGTACGTACCAAACAAACAATATTAGTTTATAAATTTTTCATATTCCTTAAATTGTAGTTTTAGTTTATTTTAAAGTAGGTTTTCATCCGATCCGATGTTGTATTTTTTGGAAGCCATGCAAGGCACTGGCTAAAGATAATAAGTCTCAAGAATATTACAAGTTAGGAATAATGCAACTATTTTTAGGCTGTACGATCGTGAGGGAATTAGTAAAATCACAGAATCCCTTTTGGAGTTAAAAGTACGTGATTTTTATGCCAAATGCTAATGCATGGCATCCAAAAATACATGCTAACGTACGATGGAACAACATAGATGCCATATTAATTTTACATTTTAAATGAGCGAAAAATTTATAAAGAAATACTGATTAAATATCCTTTTAGACTAACATTTTCGGAATAGCTATAAAATTATCCTAGAAATCATCAGTTATCGTTCTCTTTAACAACAGTTAAAGCTGATATGGACCAAATTTGAAACTCCTCAAAATCGTTAAATTTGGTCCTAAAATTTCCAGATAAAATATAATTTACTTAACATCCGTTTTTGTATTTTTAAAACTGCTAATTTTGTGAATCAACATGTAGCTTAGCAGTGTTTGGAAGACCATATTTAATTTTTTGTATGCCATGCTAAGGCATAGGCAAATATTTCCGTTCAGAATAACACTTTTTGGACTAAACTCTATTAGAAGCTTGTAGTTATTTTTAAGAGATTTTTACTAGGGTTGCCGTTTTCGGTTCGAGCTTGATTTTTTACGAGACGGTTCGTTTTCGAGCTTTTTGAGCTATCTGTATCTGTATCATATTAATTTTTGTTTTAATATGTATGATCTTAATTTTATTTTAATAATGAAGGTTTTGTGGGGTGTATTTTTCGGTGAATTATATTTTTGTATGTCACCTATAGGCTGACAGAGTCTCTATCCGATCTCTAGTAGACCCACTGTATTGTCTGAGACCAAATTGACTTTTAATAAAGATAAAAATTAAGAATTTACATTTTCAGAATCTGCAGGTTGCGATTCATTGTTAGAATCGATGTTTGAAGAAATTATTTATGAGCGAGAATATTCATTTACAAATAAAGGTTGATAAATAAAATTTAGTCAATAGCTTCTTATTAAATTAAAAATTAAGGAGTATTTAAAAGATCAATGATAATTTTTGATTTTCATATATCACAAAGAATATCTCGTAATTTTTTGGATGTCAGTTTCACTGACAATGATTTTTTGCCTTTGTATCTTGTCCTCCAAAATTTTCGTCTGAAGCGCTTTAAGAACGAAGAACTCTAGCTCCGCTACCAAATTTAAAATTTTTCGTTTTGATGTGTACATATTCAAGTGTCAGATAAGTTGTGGTGATACGATCTAGCGAAAGTATCATTTGTGGATTGAATACGCAAATCGATGCATCGCTTACGAAACTACACCAAGTTTTAAAAATAAATTTTCAAGTGTAAAATCAAAATTAGAGAATTTTCAAAAAATTCTCCATATATTCCATATTTAGAGGTGTATATTTTACCCCGACTCGGGTTTGTGTCGGGTATCGAGGTTTGTCGAGTTAGAGCCTTCGGCGTTGGGTCGGTTTTTTGACAAAAAATCAGATGAAGTTTCGTGGGTCGGATTGCTAGTTTAAAAGTATAAATCATTTTTGGAATAGCTATAAAAAATATGCTAGAAATCACTAATAAAGATTATGGACTAAATTTGAAACTCATCAAAATAAAATTTAGTTATCTCTAGATAAAGTGGAATCTTACTTAACATCCGTTTTGCATTTTTATGACGGGTCCACATGTAACTTAGAGTGTTTTGATTTGTATTCTTTATTTTTTGGATGTCCACATGTATTTTTTGGATGTCCACACGGATCCACATGTAACTTAGAGTGTTTTGATTTGTATTCTTTATTTTTTGGATGTCATGCTAAAGCATAGGCAAATAATTATGAAGGATATCAGAGGATTAAGACGGATCAATTATCTGAGATTAAGGAGAATATCCTGTTTGGAGGTATCAAAGAAATTTAAAGAGATATCTATGGAAAAGACTATGTTATATGAGTTGGGAGATATCAGAGGATGAAGACTTTTGAGCCATTTCCAATTTCTGGCACCTTCTTAAATGTCTTTTGATTTAGTCGAAACAAAATTTTTTAAAATTTAAAAGGAGCAATAGCAGTTAAAGAAAGTTCTAGAGCATATTTATAAAATGTTTTACTTGCTAATTAATATGAATTATTGACTTTCGCCTCACTTTAAATAAAAATTATTATTGAATTGATTTACATTAGCAACAAACGCATGGCCCGCTTCTTTATTTTTGGATGCCATTTTTAAACAATTGGCAATAAATCATACAGTAGGCTATATATGTCAATAGGAGTGTTCGAATACATAGATATATCGTATCTTGTAATCTTAGTAAAAAGCCATGAATATCTAAATAACAGGGCAAGTTATGAATACGAAAAGATCCAGGCTTTTCCCAGACACAATCGCTCCTACAAATTGAAGAAAATTTGAAGATCTATTGAGTTCTAAGAACGATATACTACAATGTTTTGACTGACAACAATCCTATCACATGTATTAATAAGTATAGTAAAAGCAAAGGGAGTTTGATGAAGAAAGCTCATCGAATTATTTAAATCTTTTTCCTTAAAGCTCTTTTGTTATCAGTAAGGCTACTAAAAACTTTAACAAAATTACATGAGAAATCTCAGGCTTTTTTGTAATGGGCCTCTTGGAAAAATTCAATGTGAGATCCTGTTAAACCTATCCCTGGTAAAAGTTCGCTCACCAGTAATTACCAATGTGTATTTAAAAGTGGGATTACTCTGTGCCTCGTATAGCAACATAGAGTACGACAAATACAGAATTCTAAAATTAAAATTTTGGAAATTTAATTTATTTTTTGTCGGCTTTCAATGCGACATCCAAAAAATTAAGCAAAAAACACTAGGCCACAAGTCACATACAGTATACGCATTTCCCATTTAAAACAAAATAAATGTAATAAAATATTAGTTTATAATTTAAAAATCTAACAATTGACGTCAATTTTAAAATTGGACTAATCCTGAATTACCAAATATAAAAAATCCGAATAAAAAATAATGTAAGCTACTAATCAAGTTTGAGCAGTTCTAAATTCTACACAAATTAAAAGTTAAAACAATAATTAAAAGCAAATCAAGGGGTTCGGGCTTTCGGTCACGTGTTTCGGGCTAGAAAATTTTCTTTTCGTGTATCGGGTACAAAAAATGTCGGGTTACGGGCGGCAACCCTTATCTCTATTTAGAGGGATAAAGAGGATTTTAAAATTTAATTAATTTTTTGGCGGCTTTCGATGCGACATCTGAAAAATCAGACGTGAAGAGACTAAGCATCGCAGTTAGATCAGATCTGTAAACATCTGTATTTCTTAATAATATGCGTTTCTAAATTTTTCCCTCTTTTAGGAATTAAAATTAATTTATAATTTTATCGTCCTCGTTTTCACTTCATATATTTTTGGATGCCACACATAATCATATGGCAATAATTTAAGCGACACTAAAATAAGTCCTCGGAAACAACCTTTGTCTGAGATATAATGTAATTGTATAGAGGGAATTTGTTAGCTTTAAAGTGATTACGGCTTCCTTCTTTTAGCGCAGGAAGCGAAAATTTTGATAATTTCTTTTGATAAAACGGTGATCCTTTTAAAAATTTTTTAGACGGATCGTTATGTCTCAACAGATAAATTATGAATAAATCAAGGCTCGTTCTCTGAGTGAATAACTCTGATTAAGTAAAGCACTCTCTATTGCTAAAAAATTTATGCGAATACGGTGATGCTATTAAAAATCTCCCCCCCCCCCTAGTTGTAACATTTTTACATCAAAAAATTGAAAGTTTTAATCACCTTAGTTTTACAATCTTCATTATAAATTAAAACCATTTTTATTCTTTATGAGAAAAAGTCTTTATCCAATTTTAGAATTAAATTTAAACCAATCTATATATTTATATTTTAAATATCCAAGTCCCAATTTAAATTAAATCCCAATTTATCATTTAAATATTTATTTTCAGTTTTTTCTGAAATATTCGTTTCTTGCATCCTTTAAACATGTTTGCACCCGGCTGATACATAAGACTTAACTGTTTTTTTATCTTTCGTGCATTGTTGGGCATAGGCCGGGTCATAATACTATATTTTAATTAATTTAAAATTTTTTAAAATATTTTTGAGGATGTTTACATACCTTTGAAATACAACTACATGCATTCTTATAAACGCAATTTTTATTACTGAAATTAATTGTATATTTATGGAATTAAAAATTTTAGAATAATACTTGTTCTTAGTACAACCATTACAGCATTGAGCAAGACTTGGCTCAGACACAATTTGATTTACTAAAAGACAGATTGTAAAAATAAAGAAAATTGTAGTTTTGTTGGACATTTTTAGTTTTTAAAAATTCTTCTAAAAATTTGGTAAAAAATTTCAATTAATTTACTAAATTATTAAAAAATTTATATTATGTATTGCCATACATATAAGCGATTGAAAAACATTTTAAATGTAAGTGAAAAGTGAAAGATTGAGACAATGTAGACTAACAATAACTGAGATGAACTTGAGGAAACACAAACACCAAGAATATACTTAACATCTTAAATCAACAAAAAGAAATGCTTATTTAAACTAATGTGTATTATACTTATCCTAGTTCGTTTTAACCAAAACTAGCCTGCGTTGGGCTCCAAGAGTGAACCCACCCTTGGGACACGCCGATCCACCAATTAAAAAGGCCATTTTTTAACATTTATTTAACAAATATTAAAATTTGAGGGAAGGAGAACCGGCCAACTTTTGTTCAGGTTAAAAGTTGAGATTGACTGAACATTTCTGACCCTTGCATTCTCAAAAAAATCAGGTTTTCCCTGTTAGAGTGAGTGCTTAGTATGAAAGACGCAACCTTTTAGTCGTGTGTTCTAGTCTTAGTTAGTCAGTCGCAAGTTAGTCAGTCTTAGTCCGTCGTAAAAGCTAGTATTTCTACTCCAGCGCATAGCTTATTCTATTGTATTGTTACCTTCGTGATAAACCTTGTTAGTTAGTCTTTCTGTTAGTATGGGACACACCGCAAGTCGACAACAACATTCGCAAGCTACTCAGCCAATTATTACTCAATCCACTTGAAAACATCAACTCAGTTTTTGGAATTAGCTGAAGATTAATTAATGAATTTAAAATAAATTGAATATCGCAATTTCGTTTGCGTATTTATTTTGGCAAAAATTATTAAAGAATTGCAGCAGTTCAAACAAGATAAGAGAGAAAAACGCCCGCGTTTATGAATTTATCAGAATTTTTGGTATAATAGATTATTCCACGTTGGAAAATTGAATAAAATTTATATTTTTGGCAAAATTGAAACTTGAAGATAGCTGATAGAATCTATCCCCAGGATTTTATATTGAGAGAAAGAAATTTTTGAGCGAGAGAAATATAATAAATTTTAAAGTTGGCAATTTTTAAAAGAATTTTTTAAAAAATGAGTATTTCAAATACGTAAAAATACGTATTCAAATACCCCGCGCTTCGCGCGGGGTTTTGCGGCACGCGCCTCGCGGGGAGTCTCGGACGCTGGGTCTGGGCTCGTAACATAAACCTATTCCTATCTCCCTTGCTCTGGACGTATTTGGGGCCTCTGTAGCAGCAAAAATCTCCACAGATGCCATAGGTAAGGAGCTAAAATAAAAGATCATAACTTTGTCCAATCAAGTCAGATTTCGTTGATTTTGGTGTCATTCGACTCAGCTCGACGAGCTCTTTCGAATGAGGTATAATTTGCATTTTCGAATTTTTCACCCCAAAAAAGTGCTTGGTTTTTCGATTTTCGGGGGCTTATATCTCAGCCCCTCTATGAGTCCGCGCGAAAATTTTTTCACCATTCGACTCAACTCGACGAGCTCTTTCGAATGACATATCATTCGACTTAATCGGCGTCTGTGTCGTATACCGAAATTTTACCATTATTTCACTTTTTTACACAAATTTCTATAGATTTTTCTTGAATTTTTTTCCATATTAATCCTCCTTATTCAATCAATTTTAATTTATTCGTTAATTTTTCCAATTTATTTTTTAAATTCAATCCATACCCAACCATCACCAAATTCATTAAAATTAGCTTATTAATTTTATAAAATTTTATTTAGTCAGATGTTTATTCAGCTTGATATCCTCTCTTCTGTTTTATTAACTTTTTACGTGAGCTGGTAGAAAAGAAGCAAAGAAATTTTTTTAATTAATTTAACTCGATGTTTATTAAGTTTGAAGTGAGATTTGCCATACAATTTATTTATTTTTGGTAATCTTTAAGATCATTGGTCCCTAAAAAACAGTTGAAAATGCTTGTTTTTATTGTTTTTTCTAGTAATATTATTTTTTTTACTTACGATGAGCTGGAATCTGATTTCAGATTTATCATATGATATCATCTTATCTATGATTTTTTTATTTTTTTCGTCAAGGTGAGGTAAAATGTAATTTAAATTATATGACATTGGAAAAATTCAATGAATGTAAAACAGAAATAAATGAAAGGGAATATAAATAATAAATTGTAAATGAAGCTATAAAAGATCAAAAAATTCAATATGAATGTAGAAGCGAATGAAAATAATAAAAAGAAAGAGAATACAAATGTATTTGAGCAATAAATTTTCACGCATTTACAACATAATACTCACTAATTTGATCTAAAACGTTATCAAATGCAATTATGGTCTTTTTCCCATTAAACTGTCTCCAATTGTGCTCAATGAGATATATGGGCATTAATTCTGGACTTGTGCCTGACATTGTTTGAATTTCATTTTGATATTTTTCTAATAGTTCTCTACATGTTTAGTGTGAGTATTTGTTCGTTCATCAACAAAAAATCTTGTGTGGTTCACAGTTGTGTGTATGTTTGGAGGTATTACAGGTATTGCAGCAATAGCGCCATAGGCTCACCATTCATCTGAGTTTTTCTAAAAAGTTTTGAAAATTTTCAATGAAATTTTATACCACAAAAATCATTTTCTTGTGTAAGCTTATTCAATCAATTTTAATTTATTCGTTAATTTTTTCAATTAATTTTTTTAAAATTCAATCCATACCCGACCATCACCAAATTCATTAAAATTAGCTTTTATAAAATTAGCTTATTAATTTTATAAAATTTTATTGAGTCAGATGTTTATTCAGCTAGAAAATCTCTCTTCTATTATATTTAATTTTCACGTGAGCTGATAGAAAAGAAGCAAAGAAATTTCTAAAATTAATTTAACGATTTTTATAACTTTGAAGCGAGATTTGCCATACCATTTATTTATTTTTTATTTATTAATTGGTTAAAGCATAAGGTGAATATAAATTATACACTTATAGTCTTGAAAAATTTAAATGGCAATTAAAATCCGACTAGGACACGGATACGGATTTTGGTATCCGTATTCGGATATTTACGACGGATACAGACGGATACAGGCGAATACTATCTGTATTCATATCCGTATCCATGACGCTGTCTGATTAAATTACAGAAAATATAAAGTCATAAAGACATAAATAAATTTAATTTATAGAAAATAAACCCGGTGTCTTAAGCTTAAGTTTAGTAACAACAAATCACTTCAAACTTTATATAAATGCCGCATTGATAATTAAGTAAAGCAGCTTGACTATAGCTATTTCTCTCCTTTAGCTAGTGCAAAAGGTTAATCGGCGGCTGGGAGCGAACCAGCATCTTCATTAGACATCTTCATTACATCTTCATTCATCTTCACGGACTGATGTGTAGCCATTACATCACGCCGCCTAATGCACAGCCTTAGGAATTAAATAGCTATATGCTTTACATGATGTACAAATTATCGTCACGGAAATAGGCCGCTAGCGCGCACTTGATTATCGCGCTTCTAATTTATGTCTGAGTTATCCGACATCCAAAAAATTAAGATTGGTCCACTCCGACAATTACATTATAGTAAAAGCAGAAAAAATTTAAATAAAAAAGTCAATGAGATAAATTATAAGGAGACATGAACCCTAATTTTCATCGATGTTTAGTAGTACTATTTCATTACAAGTTAAATGAACTACCGAGGAACTTGAGTGATATCGAGTGAACAAGAGTATTTGAGAGATTATTATAATTATGAGTTAAAGAAAAAAAACTAGAAAAAATTGCTTATCTCATACATCTGCAATTTTATTTGTAAATGACTGAATGCGTCATTCCAATTTACCAATTTATTTAATTTTTTGTCAGCTTTCTATGCGACATCCAAAAAATTAGCAATAGGGATATTATAATTCAAGACAAACTAAAGCTATAATAGTTTTCCATTTAAATCAAAATAAATGTAAAAAAATATAAGGTAATGAAACAACGGTAAACTTTTCAATAGAAAGCTGGCTCCAGAAGAAACACATGCCCCATTAGATGCCCCAAGGCCCAAAGCTTCTATAAGAATTTTATGTACCTATTTATGTTCATTATAAATGTTCTTTTTGTATTTGGATTACTCAAAATTAACAAAAAAATCTTGAATTGTTAGACACATCCTCTGTAAAATAATTGTAGGTGATACTTGCGATTACCTCTTCCTTTTTGAATAGTACATGTCCAATTCAACTATTGCCTATGATTATACATGGCATCCAAAAAATTAAGTCGGTGAAATGCTCGGTTCTTAATATAATATTAATTTTACGTCTTTAAGAGTGGGAAAATTGATGAATAAATATTAATTAAATAATCCTAATACCGGGATTGACATCACAGTCGGTCTGCCTAAATGTCTGACTTTATAATTTGAAATACGTTAACTTTTTTCGCTACTTTAACTTACTAAAGCGAATATTTGTTAGCTATAGCTAAAATCCAAAATAATAAATAATTATACGAAAAAAATTAAATAGCTAAGAAATAATTTGACATTAATTATTAAATTATCAACAATTAATTTAACAATACAGTGTGTCAAGAAAGTATAAGACCACCTAAAATTTTCATGTCGAAACTCGGGGTGGCCTTATACTTTCTTGACAACTGTTTTTAAGAAAATTCGCGAAATTTCGCATTTTGATTCAAATTTTTTACAATTTATTTTTTGAATGGCTATTAGTTACGGTAAAAAACAGCTGTGTAAAATTTCAGATCTGAGACTTATGTGGAAGTTGAAAAAAAGTGAAAATTTTAGGTGTTCTTATAATTTCTTGACACACTGTAAATGAATTAAACTTAAATTTGAATAAAGTTATGCCAAAAATAATTTGGCCGGTGTCTTTCGGCTCACTCTTTATAGCAATCTCAATTTCATATAATCTTAGGCTAAAAATTTGAACGGATTTTGTTTAACATTAAGATTAATTAACTGCCAATTGATATCCATGGCATCCAAAAATAATCCATA